ACTGTTTCAGTCACATACACAAAGCTGGCAATTGTGTAACATTCCTGTGAAATTAATGTGTTTTAGCCAAAGACAGTGAAAGCAGTGTGTGCCGGCTTCTGCTGAGCTATTCTTTTGCTATTTTAACTCTGTTAGACTTACCTCAGGGAGATCAATGGCAACGTTTTCATCTAGAACCCTGGAGAAAACAAAACCTTATTAAGTATCTGAAGATATTCAACATCTGCTTGGGGTGGAAGCTTGCTTATTACATTTTCCAGAGGTGCATAATAAAACTGCATTTTTTACTGAACAGCTCTAAGTTTAGACAAAATTCATCAGACAATCAGATTTTTGCACAGTTTAAATTTTGCTATAAGCCCTTAAAACAGACTTTAAGCAGGACTCAGGGAGGGCACAGCTGTGCATGCTGTCTGCTAAAGAATTAATCTCATTCTTTAATCATTGTGCACACACTTTTTCCTCAATACCCTTTTTTAATATAAAATTGTCATTTGGACAAACTTTGGGAGGACACAAACAGGAGACAAATGCTGCTGCATTCACAGATTCCTGAACAGTATCAGGCAGCTAGCAACTCTTTCTTGTCAAGCTTCCATCAGATTCACCATGGCAAACCCTATTTCCCCACCTCCTAAATACCTCTCCCAAAAAAATCAGGTTTAGCAAAAATGGACCAATGCAAAAAAACATTAGGAGCTTTCAATGCCAGGGATCTGCTGTAGGGCTGGGTGCCTGACAGCCAGACTCTCCCCAGCAGCCACCAGCCCCACATGCAGGCGAGCACCAGAGGGCCTGGGGCTCGCTGCTGACTTACTCATTGATGGCCGCCTTCTCAGAGAAAATTCTCAGGCAGAAATCTGACTCCTGGTGAGGCTCAGAGGTGTCTGGAACAAAAATGTAATCGGCCGGCAGCAGCTTGAATTGGTTAGATACTTCCCCTGATTTAATGTAGGCTTTGCTCTTGGCCTTGGAGTAGTGGTGCTTGAAGAAGTCTTTGCCCAAGTGTCCATCTCTGCTGGGGCTCTAGGAGGGGAAACAAAAGCAGCGCTGCACTGGCCGGGGTATGTTGGGGGCCATACTTGCCCCTTTCCCAATCACAGAGCCAGACTCTGCCTGGCACAAGCCTCTCCCCCAGCTGTGACACTGACTCTCATCCCTTCACCCAGGTGCTCAACCTAGCTCTCACCTTATGGCAAGATTTGCCAACCCCAACCTCACTCAGGGACAGGCACCCCTGTGTGTGATGCACCCAAAGAGGCTTGTAAGAAGCAACGTTCCCTCTCCGGGAATCAGGCAGGGGATGACAGAATCATGGAGCTGAGGAGTCTATCCTGGGAACCCATGGCCCCACAGGGACTCCTAAATCCTCCTCTAAGAGGACTCCATCCCGACCGCATCAAAATTCTCCATGGGGCTTGATGTAACTGACATTATTTTAAGAGCAAGGGCCCTAAAAATACATGATGACTGGCAGGGGCACAAACCCAGAGAAAGATGCTAATACTGATATTGCGGCTACTGCGCTGTAAAAGCAATAGAGTACCTCATAAAAAGAGTAGCCAATGGTTAGCATTTCAGCGCCAAGGTTCTTGAATTTACGGCGATCCTTTTGCATCAGAGCTACTATGAATGTGCAGTCATCTTGTCCATCATCTTTCTCTATCAAATGCAGCTTGATTTGTGGATTTGTCCAGAAAGTCTCTGCCAATATAAAGAACAACAGAGAGTTTCTTGCCTCAGGATAATACTACTACTACTACTGAAAAAAAAAAAGAAGACAAAAAGGACAATTAAGCTGAGGTTTTGCTCAAATTTAGTTTTTCCATTAGCTGTTATGCTTCTTTCCACTAAGCTCTGCAGAAAATAAGCCAAATCCCAAAGTCCTTCATGGAACTGAATGTAGAGAAGATTTTAGGTCTGATATTTTATTAAGTTACCATGGTTTAAATAAAGTTGTCAGATGGGATTTTGTTGAAAGTACATAGCTACAGTGATCCCATAGTGCTGGTGCCAGTCTGGAGTAACACAGTTCAGATCTATGATGCTACTTCAGAGCCACATAAACATGCTGGCTGAGCTGGATTTTTGTCTCATTTTACACTTACTGCTGCAGTTTCAGTGACTTATTTGGAGCTAGTCCTACTCATGCAAATGTAAATGAGAGTCAAATGAGATCCAACGAACTTGAGAGCAAAGAAAGCAGCTTTTTTACCACAAAGTCTCAAGTGGGACCATATAAACATTTGTCCCTTCGGCTGATTCCTGCTAGCTGAGCCTCAGCTGGCCTGGCCTGCACCCACAATTCTGGCTATGGGGTAACAGGAGAGGTGGCTGAGGGTGGGTAAAGATTTCAGTGCCTGATTCTCATTTGCAAAGCAGTATCTATTCACCTCAAAATTTTTTACATCCTCCTGCAGTGGATCCCCGGATCCAGCTCCCCTGGTGGATGGTCACCTCCCACTTGCAGGCAGTGCAATCTTCCAGGGCATCTGGAGCCAGGTTGCAGATCTGGACTTTATCAAAATGCACTTTGAAGTCTTCAAATTTCATCCTGAGTGAAAGACATGTGTCGTGGTTTAGCCCCAGCCAGCAACTAAGCA